CAAGTTCAAAGAGGACAAAACATGCAATTACTACACACGATCTGTAGTTTCTTATTAACAAAAATATTAAAAGCAGTGTGTCACATGAACTTTTTACCTGATGATGGGGCCAGAACAAGCCCTGAAACGATGTATTCAAGAAAAAAAAGAAGATGTAACCCAGAAAAATTTCTATGTTCATCAAATAGCATCTTGTAAAATGCCAATCAAGCATCAGTGTTTCACAGTTGAATTTCGTTTTATTGGTATTACCTGTGAAGATTCGGGATAGAATTGATCTTCAGTAACCCATGTTTGTCGTGAGAGGCGACTAACGGGATCGGATGGTCAGGCTCGCTGACCTGGTTGACATATGTCATCGTATCCCAATTGCGTAGATCGATGCTCATGCTGTTGATCACTGAAGTGTCTGGTCCAGACTCGATTATGTACAGACCGCCGCCATATAGCTGGACTATTGCTGAGTGCGGCGTAAAACTAAACTCACTCACTCATATTATTGGTAAACTATCAGTCAAAGCTTCAATAGTTCAAATAATCGAAAGTTTATATATAGTATTATTCAAGCTGAACACCCAGTGTAAGGGAGCTTACTTATCATACACATTCATATTGCCTGATTGTACGTGACTATCACTTGATAAAAGTGGTTTGGCGGACCTGGTATCAATCCCCCACAATCTGTGTAATAACCGAAGCCTAACTGCCGATTCACATCGTCGATTTATTGCTAAATTTACTTACTAACTGAACCAAATGTTCATATCACATCAAGTACAGTCTTAGGTTTATGCACATGTACTAGAAATGACTCAATGAATGGAAAAAAATCACGGATAGATATTTTTACCAATATCCAGGTCATATTTAATATCATTTAGTATTATACACGCTAGCCCTGAAATACATTGCGTTGTGAATTTCGCCTGATAATTAGACATGTAGACTGGTGTGAGAGAGAGTTTAGTTTTACGCCGCGTTTAGCAATATTCCAGCAATATCATGGCGTGGGACACCAGAAATGGGCTTCACACATTGTACCCATGTGGTGAATCGAACCCGGGTCTTCGGCGTGACGAGCCAACGCTTTAACCACTAGGCTACTCCACCGTCCATACTAGACTGATGTGTGGTCAGTGATATGGAATTTACATGTGACAGTAAACAGTCATACGAAATGAGAAAAGTCAAGATTACCTTGCGGTCTCCGTCTTTCGCCTGTTAGGAAGATAACATACAAGGGTCTCCTTTGCTGGTGTAGATACGCTTAACCTTTAGCACAAATATCTCCACACAAGCCGATAGGAAAAATATATAGACTAAAGCTTTTACAAACAATAGCGCTAACGGCGTGAACCGTATGCCGTAGTTTAGCTTTGGTATATATACATACCGCATTCCTAGTTTTCGTTTACCAAACAATCTGGCAGGATATCATAACAGAGCCCTTCTTCGTAAGAGTCTGGTCTTCAGGTAGTGTGGCGCTACTGAGACTGGTGAGAGCTGTCAAGAACAGGTGGACGTGAGGTTCGGTGGAAAATGAGGAGACTGTTAACATTTTCTTATTCAACGTTATCTGTCAATTCATGGGAGAGTTTCATTACTTTATCCTCTCATCAAAACTGCCCCCTGCGTCAATAAAACCTGCATTTACATACATGATACCTATTTTATAGGATACCAAATCCTTTCGAATCCTGGCGGTGACATGTAATGTATGATCACGCCTTGTTCCCGGAGAGAGATTCACTGCCGTTGAAAATCATTTGAAACGTCTTAGTGACTTTGTATGTTTTGATTTGTAAGGAATTCAATATATGTTACAGCCCGGGGTGTAGCAACAACCACCATATAGTTCAGTTTACATATCAGGTGAAGTTAAACCAAGTACAAATGTACGTCGCAGAGGGTAGTTGGACTGGTGGCCGTGTTCAGCAGCCTAATTTAACCCAGGAGTATTTCTAGAGATTCAGTGTATCCCAGTCAAGACTGGGGCGCATTTGGTGGCTCCTCAGGAGAGTGACTGTGTTAAAAAAATGTTCTTTTCACCTGGCAGTAAAATTGGGTACTTTCGCAACGCCTGACGAGGTAGTTGTGTAGTTCCCGGAAAGGAAAATGAAAATCGAATGCATTTTGATCCGTTGAAAGGGATATGAATGTCAGCGCTTGACTGGAGTCTCGTACATAGGAAACTAGTTCACATTACGAAGGACTAAATTGCAACTAAGGAATACATAAAGGCCATGTGCATGGAACCGGTTCAGGGAGATATAGGAATTAGATCTTTATCTGTATACTCGGCTTCTTTGAGTAGGCGCAATGATCTGTTCAGTGTATCCGAAAACACAGGTAACTGTACATCACCACAAAACATATTTTCTTCATATATATGATTCTGCTTTGTAACACGAGACAACCACAGATGTAGCCACGTACAAACAATGAATTCTTCAGAGTAAGATAAAAACACAACTCGGTATCAGTGGCGATATTTGAGATTACTTCAGAGCATTCTTCTAGACCAAGCATATCATGTGAACTGTCTATTCTCGATTTCACACTTTATTAAACAAAAAAAAACAAAACAAAAATAACACGCATATAATGTTTGCGATGGTAAGGAGTAGAGATGTTCGTTGGTGTCCTGCGCCTGTCGTTTATCATTAACCGCGTCAGATAAGACCCAGCTGTTGTTTTAACACAGTGGCCAGACATGCGGCGAGTACAATTAATCAGAGGGTGTTTTGTCAAGTCCTGCTGGCTGGAAAATGTGTTTCATGTATGTATCTGAAAGTCTGGCAATGAATGAACCATCAAATTCCAGTCTACAGCTGGCATTTAGACTAGTCCCGCATGTGTGGATCGAGAGCGTTTATCCCATTTCTATAGGAAGGACCTACAATAAGTGGTCAGTGTTAAGCATGACAGAAATTAAAGTAAGACGCTGTCCTCTTGCTGTCAAGTGAACACAATAATAATCACGATTGCTGTTTTCAAATTTAAACAAACAAATGCAGCAAAGAGGTCCCGTGTCCCAGCAAAACCAAACTGAGTTCACAGCCCTTAGCACCGAAAGAGCAGCTCAGACAGAAAATTCGAACCTTCCCAGAATATTCGGTGAATGAGATGTCTCCCAATGAATGTTGCCTTAACCATTGCCGAGACTAATTGTAAGTGTGTTCCAGGCAAAACCCGGATACTCTCCCAATGTTCGACAACTGATCTGGGGGTTGGGGAACACAACGCAAGGCACTGTACACGATGGAGAGTCGGACAACCTCGGACTTGGGATGCATGCGAAATATTTCGTATACGATGTCAATCACATTTGTGTCAAAAGGGACAGAAAATTTTATTATATGAGATTTCACTGAATTAACCAAGAGGTTTGTTAGTGTGAATACGAAGCTGTATGCGGGCATGTTTCAAAGAATTTTTCAACCAAACTTTCTATATCTATTATGGGATGTAACATGGGCGTCAATACCACACACATGGTCAGACACTCGTGACACGACAGAGCCATGGCATCACGTCGCTTAAGATACCGTGTTCCCTTCAACGATTGCAGCCACAGACAAAGTGAAGACATTCGCTTTAAATCCGTTGCATAATCTACGTTTCATACTCATATTTTCATGCAAAATCACATTTGATTGCTTAAAGCCCGAAACGACAGATCCTGAGAAGAATCGGGAAGCCTTCAATTTCAATTTTCAGCAGTCATCCAAGCGAAACACTCTGCTGGGATACTTTTCTCCTCAACACACTGCTCATGTATACGATGCACCGTTAAAAAAGTCTTCGCTTGAAACACTGAGTCTGTGCTAATTTGATCTGTGCTTGGTGGACATTTCTGCATTGTTTTGCAGTATATAATCATCAACAAAATCAACATTGACACTGTAATTATGTCCTGCGTCCTTTGTTCCTTTTCGAAAACTGCTCAGTCCCTTGTTTTCATAATGAGCGTTGCATGCTTCACAGAGTATCATAACAAATATAAATGAGTGTAAATGTTCACAATGAAATGCCGACATGAATCATCGCTAATAACACCACGACCTCCCATTACAAGTATTAAAAATAAGCTTTTTGGTTAGGAAGAAGATTGATAGAACCCATTGTCTGATACGTTGATTTATATGAGTGAGTGACAACGTGAATCGTTCATGCTTTGACAATATCTTTTTCAAATTAAGTAATTTTTAAAACGCAAACGATTCGCGTCCTCAATTATCGCAAATACAATCTTTTGAACAATTGCAAATGTATAAACCCTTGAAAATAATAACAATAATTACATTTCGAAATACTGCAACGTTTCTCCTGTAAAACTGTTAAATGAAACGGCAAACTCTTTGCTATTGAAACGGTTGTATTGAGACATGATGGACTCAGATATTTGAATGTACATGTATAGTACATCGTGTATTTACATGGCTGTTAAACTTTTTAAGTGTGTCTAAAATACTCCCAACATGAAAATCTTTTCAGTAATCTTTACGTTGTGGTAAGATCCATGCTCTCTTGGTCAGAGAAGATGCCACACGGCAGTATATATCTCCGGTTGAGGAGGAGATTAGAGACAAGTGGTTCATGTTGACTGATATCTTTAGTCGAACGCACAGTCATGGTAAAATACACCACCTGTCCTTCTTCCACGTGTTATGCGCGATTAGGCCTCTTATGGTATATTAGTAATTACCTTTTTCGCATATTAGTCTTTGAAATGATTGATGAAACGTTCGGCCTAATCTGTACATGGCCCCACATGTTAACAGATGAGAAACATATTCACAGAGCGAGGTATTTGACTGATGCAGGGTAAATTATGTAAAAGATAGGATCTGGATCAGCTAATATATATCTGAAAGTAATAACTTACAGCTTGCAATGGAACATAATTTGGGCCGAGCCTTTCCACAGAGTTCATGAAGTGCGACATGGTATGAACGAAAGAGCAAAACGCCTAAGAAAGGTAGACATTTGGCATTTACCTGAAATTAGTCTTCAAACTGAAATTGTTTCCGTGACTGTGGATCATCCTTGAAGCCGGCACCGTCTGCGAACAATGGCATCGTATTAAAACCACACATCTAACTCATTGTAAAATGCATTAAATATATACCTTCGACTGCACCCGTGAAGATCCGGGTTAGAATTGATCTTCAGTAACCCATCCTTGTCGTAAGGGGATCTAACGGGATTGGGTGGTCAGGTTCGCTGACTTGGTTGACACATGTCATCGTATCCCAATTGCGCAGATCGATGCACATGGTGTTGATCACTGGATTGTCTGGCCCAGACTCGATTATTTAGACCGCCGCCATATAGCTGGAATATTGCTGAGTGCGGCGTAAAACTAAACTCACTCACTCACCCACGACTGAAGGTGGCACCCACAAGAAACTGACATGAATCAGGTTTTGATTTGATGCATTGGTTGTTATATTATGTTATACAGGATTGTTTTTCTCGAATGGTCTTATAACCTCGAAACCGATTATCATATAACATTACGTAATTTAATTGTTTGTGTAAGATGTTATTAATTGTTGATGTTGTCGAAAGGATTGGCTCCTGTATTTTTTTTCAGTTACATGCTTGGACCTGTACAGTAGTTAAAAACAACAATGAATGTGTACTGCATTTGCTGATAATCTACTTTGAGAATTAGTTTCAAGTGAAATGGCAGATAAAGATTCCAGAATGCACCACGTTTACGCCCATAGCTCTGAAACTGTTTATTGCATTACTCAAGATCAAACATTGCAAGTGTTATTTTACAAGACATGTGTCTGCAGTGAGTTGTATTACGACTGCAATATTCTTGACAACATATCCTGCTACAATGTTTATTGCTCCATTCAGGGACTTAATTATAACACAACTATATGCCTTATATACTTAGTCCTAATCTGCCCGTATTATTCGCTCATGTTCACTTTAGCCCTTCTCGTTATTAATGATGCGCATTTGACACCATGTGAGTTAGTGAGTATGGTTTTACGCCGCTGTTAGCACGATTCCAGTAATATCACGGCGGGGGACACCTGAAATGGGCTTCACATAATGTACAATTGCAAGGAAGTCGTGTAATTCGGTTAAGCTGGCTCTGGCCCTTGCTTGTTCTCAGTTGAATCTCTAAATAGAAGCAGTAACTCTCATGTGGGTGGCTTCGTTGCCAGCAGAATAAACATTTTGATCTCAGTAGGAATATTTTTTCCAATGCTTCAAGCCGAGTATTTCACATATATATTCACATCGTTCCCGGTACATCTGTACAGGTTCTATTTGAGGCAGTATTGCCCGGTACTTCTGCACAAGTTATATTCAAGTCAGTGTTTCACGTTAGATTTCTTTAAGTTATATTAAAAAGGCAGTATTCTGCGGTACATCGGTACAAGTTACATTCAAGGCAGTATTCGCCGTTACATCTGTACAAGTTATATTCAAGGCAGTATTGCAAGGTACATCTGTATAAGTTATATTGAAAAGACAGTATCCCCCGGTACATCTGTACAAGTTATATTTAAGACAGTATTCCCAGGTACCCCCGCACAAGTTACAAATGTATATTAAAAAGGCAGCATTTCCCGTTACATATTTACAAGTTATATCCAAGGCAGTATTCTCCGGTACATTTGTACAAATTATATTAAAATGGCAGCAATTCCCGGTACATGTGTACAAGTTATATTAAAAGGACATTATTACTCGGTTGAAAGTTACGTCAGAGAGATAGTGATATTTGACGAATAGGTCCATTAAGGTGTTTGGCGAGAGCATTATCACGTGCAAAACCTGAAAAGGTTCGTAGCCAAATTACAAAGTCAGTGCATATGTATCGTGTACCTGAAATAAGTACATTGCTTCCCATGCCTCCTGTATGCTTTTTATCCAAATACATGCAGTATGAACTAGGCAATAAAATGGACATAACTGCTCACTGAAAGAGCCATCTCCAACAGCCATAAATGCAGATGGACTGTGAACGTAAGGGCATGACGATTCTTAATTTACCACTAACACGACAAAGGAAGCGAAAAGGCAGGTTGCAAGGAAGATGTTGATAGAATGCACAATATGATTAAAAATGATCATTGAAGTAAGTTATAAACTCGAACGATAATGCATGATAAAAACTGAGCATTGTATGGAGTTTAGTATTGAGACCAAATTCTACTTAATGTTATTGATTACAGAAAGATAACAAGGTTTGCTGATTGTAATTTAGTTTAAACGAGGATATGAACCAACCGCGTTCCAAGGTTGTATTAGTCGGCCTTATCACGAAAGAACATTCAGAGCGAATGTCACTCAATGAGAAGTCCATTACCACGTGTTTTGTCCATTGTCGAGTCCATGCTGTTGATATCCAAAATGCAATGAATCAATTAAACATAATAGGATTACCAATACCATCTGCATCGGAAGCAGCAATTATTGTAGTTCGATATCAACCGCTCCTGCGAAATCGATTAATGCCGAAAAACATGCCGATGTCGGTTACAGCGCATGTTTGTAGCTCTGTAACTCATTTATGTTTCATTACAGATGCCAACCCTGATTAATAATGCAGGTAATCCTTGCTATCAAAATGAAATATATAATCTCTTGTATGACAGATAATAAATAGATAGCAACTGTTAATGAGTTTACTTTCCGCAGTGTGCGAATAGTTCAGTTCGGTTGTGTTTTTTGAAATGTCATTAATTTCGTTTTATGTGTTTTTGTTGCATGTTTGATGAGGATGGGAGACCAGAGAGCTAACGCAGGTATAACAAGAAGATATCTGTTTTGCTTCCTAATGAAATTCACTGCTTGTGCCCAAAATGATAGAGTTGCACTTGCATAACCGGAAATTTTGCATATAACTTAGTTATAGATTAAACACTGCGTATGGTTACCTTCAGAAGGTAATAAAGTATGTAGGCTTTAATACAACATCATTTCAATCATACTGGTGAGGTCAGATGTAAACGCCAACGCAAAGAACACCAGCCATTATTTTGTTATTAATGCGAAGATGTACACAAGCACAGAATCGTACTGTCATAATAGGAGATTGACTGGCTATTGACTCACTGGAACCCGCAAAAAACCCAGTAGAGGATAGCTTATACCAAACTATGCAAGTAAGCTGTGGTAGCAATTTGTATGCATCGACATTTCAAACAAAGAAGCACGCATTAACTATATACATCATATCTTGGAGAAAACAACGTTTTGGACGACAAACATACCTTGCCTAGGAATGTTCATATCATAAGACATCTCACAAAGGAAAGTCGATAACATCCGAAGTAAATTCCCAAAATGCCTGAATATATAAACACCTGATAATATAGTGAAAATACACCGTTCATAATATATAACGGTATTTCATAGCCCTTTGAATAAGTATTTCTGTTATTTCACACTGAAACTGCATGTATCTGTATTGGCCATCAGCTGTATTTTATTGTCATTGCAGATGCTCTTGAACCACTTTGACTGATCTATAGGACAAACGAGATAAAAACATAAATCGCCAAGAACAGTACAGAATTAGGCAGGGGTTATAACACGATGAAGATGGTTCTCTATTTTTGTTATTATAACGTGATATCTGGAGATTCTAACATAAGCTCGGAAATCGATGACATGGTCAATTGGACTTTCAAGAAGGAAGTGGGCTATTCCCAGAAACGCATCTGGACACAGGAAAAGACCGAAAGATGGCATCCAAATGTGGGTGAGATAGGACAATCTGTTAAGGGAGAAACCTTACACGTACTCTCGATCAATTATCCATGTTTTTGTTCTTCTTATTGCTGTCAAATGTCACTCACATTTTCATATCTGTTCCGAGATGTATGTCTCGGATGACATACAGGAAGTCCTCATCAGCTAAATATTCATAAATATTCGTTTTCGAGTTTATCATATTGAAATGATTTAGGAGGCTGTACATTATATCGATATTTCATTTAAGGTAAACGACACGTGGTCGTTGTTTATTGCACAGTACTAAACTACTGGAAGGTAGTACCCTGGTGGATGCAGTCCTGTTTACTAGAAAAACAGCTCCTTATCGTCCTTTAGACCGGGTTCGAAACCAAATTATAATATATGTTTTTTTTGGCAGTTGAAATATCTATATTGGATTCGAATCAGATCGTTGGATCTGGTGGGTACGATCATCAGCCTATGTACATTGCTCCAACAAGGTGGTGAGGAACTAATATTTATATATAACCAAGGGCATACCTTTCACATTAAACAAACATACTGTCTGTACCGCTTTTACATAAAACAAAAGGTGACGAGCTTCGCACTCAACAAATGTTTCATTTTCACTTTCATTGAATATGACCGGAGAGAAACAAAAAATGTAAACCGCGAAATCCAACATTTTTCTCCGTATGGTCAAAGGATGTGATGTCAGACATAGGTTGTCTGCTTGTATTCTTTCTTTGTAAAATGTTAACAGTACATTTGGAAACCTTACGTCCGCCAAACACAAATAACTAAATAAGTAACCATCACTCATATGGAATAGTATCGTGACCTTGGCGAATATAGTTAGACATAATTATCGACCCTGAACCATTTTGACCTTGTGTGCTCCCGTGACCAAGAAACGGTAGTACTTATAGATGCATCATCACGCCACATCAAAGTTTCACGGTATCTTTTATTTGAACTCTTGTTGATATAACGACCACCCTTTGATTTCACTTTGAACATAATAGATATGATCCATGTAACTGTGAGGTATACTCTTGATTTTTTGCACTATGTCTGACGATATAAATCCACTGTTAACGGCCTCAACAACAGGTGCGTGGAATCGGGCGTGTTTCAACATAAAATTCTAGCTTTGTTGAAAGAAATAAAATATTCGCATCTGTATGATTGACGTACTAATTATATACTCAATAACATATTTTCAGTTACAGTTACACATAAAACTTGGATACTTTCATTAAGTGTGCTTATACATATGCTTGTAATTTCAGAGCGCTTTCGTATGTATACGTTCATACACGTGAACATCCTTTACGTTGGTGAGGTAAC